ATATTAACTTAACTTTTATATTTGACTAAAAACAAAAGTAATTATAAATTTTTTTTTTGACTGAATAAATAAAAGTCAAAATTTAACTTTTATTTTTGACTGAAAAAATAAAAGTCAAATTTTAACATTTTTATTTAACTACAAAAAACCAAAAGTAAAATTTTAACTTCTCTCTTTCACCGAATAAATAAAAGTCAAAACTTAACCTTTGTTTTTGACTGAAAATATATCGGTGAAAAAATAACAATTTTATTTAAAAAAAAGCATAACAGTTACCGTCCCTTATAAAAAAAAAAAACAAAAGATTTTGTATTCGAATTTTCAAAGCTATTTATCGGAAAAATTTTGTGCAGATGCTTCAACCTACATACAGCATTTGCTTCAAACTAAAACGTTCCATACACAATTGAAAACGTAAATTTCTATTGTTGGTGTTAGGTTTTACGATTAATTCTCAAGGACTTTGAGATTCTTTTCCTCCATTTGTATTAATATAATCTTATTTTCTACCCTTTGTGCCTTCTCAAAAATTTAAAGGTAATATTGCATTCCTTTCCTGCAGTGAAAAATTATCAATTAATAAAAATAGCCAAAAACCATAAGCCTTTTTGCAAGATTTCGATAAATACCTCACTTTTAAAAGCTACGCCCAGTGTTGCCAGTTTGTGGGATTTTTCCAGTTTTTTGGGATTTTATGACTAAAAAGGGTGTTACGATGCTTTGCACACCTGGCGCATCGAATGTGTTTCAGCCTTTACAAATTTGTATGTAAGCTGCAAAGTATCCCTGGCTTACTCGGTACTTTAAGTACCGCCCTGTATGAGCAGATAAAAATAGCGAGTGCAATGTTGGGTCGAAGTTTGACTATCGACACTCTTTATTTCTTTCTCTCTGCAGCAGCCGGCGTGACAAGTTGATGTTGGGAAACTGGGTGCTTAAGAAGCACAAATGTAAGTTATTGTTGTATCATATGTATTAATGGTATATGAGTTAATAAATAAATTTCAGATTTTCGCAGTGAATTATTAGCGCAAAATATTGACTTATTTCTCGCCCAACGTCCCAACAAAGGGCAAATGGGATTTTCTACCGAAAAAACGGGATTTTTTACATAGCACACCAAGCAAACAAATTTAGTTATTGATAAACAAGAAAAAGCTGCCATACTCTGCGGTAAATTAACGCCGTTCGTAGGAATCCTATCAGCAGAACTTCATTTACTTGAAAAGAATTTTAGTAGCAAATTTATAAGTTATACATAACGCTCGCATCTTTTTTCGAAAAAAAAACTGCATATTACTGCGCAAAAATCAACGGCAAATTACGCCGTATCGCCATTTTAAAAATAAAGTAGTTTTTTACAGTACAGAATTTTTTGAAATAGTTTTCCAATAACAATAAAGGAATTTCGGGTATTTTGTGTACCGCTGTACACCCCTAGATAAAATTAATTGTCTAAAAGAAGCATGTATATCCAAACTTCTCACTTTCTATAAAAATTAAAAAGTTGCACAAGAATTGTCTACTTTTAAAAGTTACCATGTTCCATAATTTGTTTTGTTTGGGAGATAATAATAACACCGTCGGCAACAAAAAAAAAAAAAACAATAATCAACGCGAATTCTTAGCCTATTGAAACTTGCACCTTATTATTAATAAACTAAAAAACTGCATACTTGGAATTAAAAAAAAAATATATGAATACAATTACTTGCACTTGCGCTCATTAGATCCACAAAGTCTATAAAAAAACAAAAAGTTTGTTGTTGTGAAATTTTTTTAATGTCCCTAAAAGTTTGAAATGTTGAGTTATATGGTGCTAAGTATTAAATATTTAACTAGTCTATATTATAAAATTAATAAACATTAAACAAACAAAAGGAAAATAGTCAAAGCTAGTATAGATTTCGTGTCCATATTGTTTACGTAACAGTATACATATATGAGTAGTCCACGTGCAAAGTGTTCTATGTAAAATTTTTACGATTTTTAGTTTTTGGTGGTTAACGTACTAGTATTTAAAGTAGTTTCAGGTGCACTAGCAATACAGTGCAAAATCCTTATACATTCTGAAATAAATAGCATCAAATGTTAGCTACTCTCCATCTCAGCTAGTCTCCATCTTCTGATGAACTTAGAACACTGCAAGAAAACGTGGTAGTTTCGGTGCCTAGTGGAAGACGTCGTAAAAAATAAGCAGACCAATCATCATGGAAGAGAGAACGCGAAAAGCTATAAAAAGCTAGCTATGTAAAAGTTACTGTTTCAAAACTCGCTTTATTAATTTTTCATATATAAAATTTGCAAAAACTACCATACTGCCATTTTGTTTTTTAAGGTTATTAGGCTTTTATTTGTCCAAATTTTCAGAAAATAAAAAAAAGATACAATATAGATTTTACTTGTTGTTGTAGACGTTTTTTTTTTAATATATGGCATACTATTATAAAATCACATAACGCTGTTTGCAAGTGGACTACTCATATATGCATTTTTTATTAAAACGCGTTTTCACGAACACTGTGTATTAAAGAATTTAGGTAGCCAAAAAAGTATAAATGCAGTATTTTGGAAACAACCGCAGTATCCATTTTTGGAATCAAAAAAAGTTATTATACTGCGAATAAAAGTACAGATAAGAGCTTTAGTTATACAGAAAGTAATTTGGAAAAAGGAATGTGCTAGCAGTTTTCAAATGTCTTGAGTTTCTGAACTTGTTTTAAATTAATGTAATGCGGCCGTTGTGGTGTAGTGGTTAGCAGTGCGCGCTACCACTCCGCAGGACCCGGGTTCAAGCCCCGGTCAAAGCAGCATCGCAAAAAAATATAGAAAAATGGGTTTTTCTTAACAACAGTCGCCCCTGGGCAGGCAATGGCAAACTTCCGAGTGTATTTTTGCCATGAAAAACAGCTTCTCATAAGAATACAATCGTCGTTCGGGGTCTGTGTAAAACTGTAGACCCCTCCTTTGTGTGACAACATCATGGCGCACACCACAAATCGGAGGAGAAGCTCGGGCAAATACTAACATATGTGTAAGCGCCAATCTATTATTATTAAAAGAATTAACTACAAGTCTGTGGAAAGGATAACGGTATACACAGATACTGAACTGGAAAAGTTAAGGAATTCCCTTAAACTGTGTAAAGCTCGTAAGTTTTCGAGGCTTTTATGGGAACGCCCCCTATATGAAAAGATGTAAATAGGTGCGTAAAGTAACTGTTTGACAGATCAAACAGGATTTTGTGAAGCATTTTCGTTTTCTAGTATTTTCCATAACATCCCGCTGTCTTGTCTCTATCACTATTGGCTAAAATGCAATTAAAAATGTTAATACAGTTAGTGGGTGAATTTCATTCAGTTTATTCGCTTTTTATTTTTGTTCAATTATTTTCATTATTTTATCATACAGTTTGGTATACAAATTTCGGCCCCTCGGCAACACTGAGGTCTACGAGGTCGTTTGCGCATAAAATTTAAGCTCCATACAAATTTTGACAGTTCTTTTACGAGGCTTGTAAATATACGAGCTTTTCGAGTCTTTTACGAGTTTAAGGGAAGACCCGTAATATGTTTTTTTCATCCGAAAGCTTTTTATGTTCAATAGATACATACATTGCGGGAGTTCTGTTATAACTTTAGTATAAAACGGGATTTATGTTATATTTGAACGGGATTTTATTAACCCAGTTACTGGAATTAGTGGATATGACTAAACCAACTTAAAGTGAGTTGTAAAGTCGTGCAGGAGTCATGCAGACGCAATCGGAAGTTTGATTTCTTTACAGTTTCTATTTAAAAATTCTCATACAAAGACTACTTTGAATACATTTTTTTCTTGCACTTCACAAATTCTTTTTCGAATTCAGGGCAAATAAAATAAAGTTCGAAACTTTATATTATCATTTTGATGGTATGTCTGACGGAATTCCAATATAGGACCACCTACTGCAGAATATGTAAACAAATATGCAATTTTGAATGAAAATTATATAAATGCAAAAAAAAAATAATAAAATTAACAAAATGGTTTTATTGATATTTTGTGTTCAAAAGTAGTAAGTTATAAGTCAGTTGACATTTAATGCAGAGGTCTGACGGCCGCCGTCGTCGGCCGCTGTGGTGTAGTGGTAAGCAGTGCGCGCTTCCACTCCACAACGTCTGGGTTCAATCCCTGGTCAAAGCAACATCGCAAAAATATTGAAAAAAGGTTTTTTCTTAACAGCGGTCGTCCCTCGGCAGGCCTTGGCAAACCTCCGAGTGTATTTCTGCCATGAAAAACAGCTTCTCATAAAAATACAATCGCCGTTCGGAGTCGGCGTAAAACTGTAGGTCCCTCCGCTTTGTGTGACAACATCAAGGCGCACGCCACAAATCGGAGGAGAAGCTCGGCTAAACACTAACATATGTGTACGCGCCAATCTATTATTATTATTATTATCGAGGTCTGTCTTTTTGCGGCCATCGCCCCACAAAAGTAGCTAGCTTTTTTCGAACAAAATATACAGTTAATAATTAGCACTAGTGTTCGCGTAAACAGAATAATGTTAGGTATAAGCTAACGTCACTCCCGGCTGGGTTCTTTACAAAGGTTTTATTTGCTTGATAGTAAGAGATTTTGGAAAGCCGCCTTCGATTTGCAACACTTTGCGAGTGGTGAAGTGAACGAAATCATCGCTGCTAGGTAACTTTGTTGTTGTGTTCACATAAAACATTTTCGATGAGCTAGCATGGATGAATTCAAGCGAGCAGAGAGTATCGAATCGAGGGCTGCTGATGTGTCATAGTTTTGTTAAAGATCAACTGGTTAGCAACAACAAGGAATGTCATTAAATGGAAATAGTAGTAACCTTCTTTATCTATCAAGCTTGCATTATGCGTATATTTACATGATTACAATATCAATGCATGCTTTAACATACAGTCTTTAATTTACGTTATAAATGGATGTAATGGTACAATGAAACGCTATTTATTGGTTAAGATTTCAAAGTTTTTTTTTTAAATATTGCTACTCACGAATTTCATCATATCCTCAAGTGGTTCATATTCGACAAAGTCAGCGACAAAACTTGCACATTCATTTTCACTGCCAATTAAAGGAATATGAAAGAATGCAGTTGGGCGTATAGTCGTGCACACCAGCTTCTGCAAATATTTATCTAAATATTTTAAAATGGCTCAATAATAAAATCTACCTGAACGTTGCATTCATTCGGCAAAGCTAACACCAGTGCCCGTCTTTTTGGGTAAAGTGTTGAAAATTGGCTTCGAAAATTTTCAGCATATAACAATAAAAGCCTTTCCTTCGGTGACAAAGTGTAATAACTGGGTGGATAACACAGAGATGAATTAGCGAACTCAGCAGCAGTCTCAGGGAAGGATAGGTCAATACGCCCTATATTAACAGGCTCGACACTATCCCTCTCATCTTCCGTTTCATGTTCTCTCATTTCTTCCACATCCAGCAATGGCTCCTCCAAAACTTCCTCGTGAACTGATAAATTTTCTGCTATGCATTTTTCCTCGAATTCTTTTAGTTCTGCCTCATGTTTTTTTGGGTCACTGCGGACACTACTAACCCTCCTCTTTTCTCCTTTTCTCTTTCCTTTCGGCGGCATGGTTACAAATATTAATAACAAATAAACAACCACGAAGAAAAGTTCGTTAGCAACTAACGGCACAAGTGCAAATTAGGTAATATGAATTCGTACACAATTTTATAAAAAAATAAAAGGGTACTACAAAATAAAATGCAAATTTCATTTGTAAAATTTTTCCATGATACAAAAAAAGAAGGTAGTTTCACTTTCAATTTTTTTTTTTACATAAACTGTGCTTATGATGTTTATACTTTTCGTAAATTGCTCGAGTATCACTGCCACCTTAATAAATTATTGTTTTGGAAATTGGGAAAATTTTAGAATGGTAGCCCCCGAGTACGGAATTAAGGAAAATAGGGGGGTAGAGGGGGTCCTAAAGGGGGTATATGTAAAGTTTTAAAGCGCGGAACCTTATAGTTTTTAAGTAATTTGTTATTAAAGTTTGAAATTTTCACCAACTTGTATGGGAATATTTAACAATATATAATGCACTTTCCACTAAATTTACACGTTATTTACACTCAATATATGCGCAGTAAGAGTGTGCACGTTCAAACAAATAAATACTTTAAGTATATTACAGCTTTTTTATCAAAAATTGATTGTTGTTTAATTTTATGAGAGTACATGCAGAATATGTGCAA